CATACATCATGCCAGATAATAGAAAAAATTAAATAAATAATGAAATGCTCAGATTTTCATGTCATGCTTTGCAAAGTCATTACAACTTTCATCTCTGAGGGCAAATACAGATACAAATTTCCAACTATACAAATGAAATGACCAGATCAGATATATATATGACAATTTGCTCAGGCCCATTTCTGGCTGGCCAAACCATGGTACAATTTATTACCATGGTCGTACCAGCCCTAGTGCCCCTAACAGATATCTACAGTCACGACATTACTTAGCCACGAATGACTCTTACAGATAGTGCGATACCACTCTCGTCAGAGGATACTCTGTCATCCACTAGGAGCAGTCCTCTTATGTCTTTCCAGACCAGATAGGGGAGGAAGAAATAGATACCCTGAAGGACAAGGATAACAGATACCCCTTAGAGATAAAAAGCCTAACGAGACACTTGATGCAATATGCATGTCAATATAGATACACTTCGGACCATACAAGCTTCATTCCACTTTTCTTTTTTTTCTTTTATACTTTTTATTTTTACCCATTATATATTATATTTATTACATGCAAATTAATCAAGTGTCTGTAATTCACATAGAATGTTTGAAAATAAGAACATTCGACTCATTTGAACACAGAGGCATACAAAACAGGAAAAATCACAATCATATTAATTTAGCTTATCTAAAAATACTTCTTAAGACGTAGAAAGAAATACTAGATTTCTTACTGAAACCTCGATGTTTTCTCCTTCACCATTCCCCTTTCTTTCTCTTATTCTCTCACTAGACTATTATCCTTCTTTCTCTTTCTCTAAATCTTGAAAATTTGAAGGATGGAAGTGTTGAGAGGAAGGGAAGGGGAAGGGCAATTTAGAGAGTTTTGATACCGTCGGATTCGCACTAAGTAGTAAAATTCGGTGAATAGAGGAAAAAAATATGCTCGACATGAAAAATGAGGGAAGAGGACCTCCTCCACTAATGACAGCAGCGCACCGCCCGAGGTAGTGGCCACACACTGGCTGAGGTGGCAGTGCATTGACTGGCGCGCGCAGGCCCCAGGAGTACAGGGTCTATCCGCACAGGCCCCATGCACTGACAGTGCACGCATAGTGTGTAGCACTTGTTCGCACACAAGGTGACGCGCTGACAACCGGCCTGCGTGCGACAGGACGCGCAGACAACTCGCTTGCGCACGATAGGACGTGCGGACGGCCCACCTATGCACAATAGGATGCGTGCAGGTCCTGACCTCGCACCGTGCACGTTGTGTGCATGTCCCTTGCATGCGTTTGTGCGGATGAGATTTCCACTCTGTGTGCATGTCTCAGGGCTACTGTGTGAGCACAATGCCCAACACCTGTGTGGGCAACCGTCTCCCTGCGGAATTTTTTTCCTTATTCACCGTTTTTCCAAATTTTCTCAAATATTTATAATGAATTAAAATTAGTTAAATACAAAATAATAGAATTTAAATTTAAATAAATTTAAATAAGAGCAAATTAAATAATAATTAACCAGATTTATAAGGAGAGTAAATTAATTTTAACGTGGCCAAAGGCCTGAATAAAAAGGGTTTCCAAATCATTTAAGTACAATGATGAGCGGGTTGTTACATTCCCTCCACCTTAAAAACTTTGGTCCCCAAATTTGTCTCGAATAAATCTTAATACTTTTCCCTCATTTTACCCTCAACTCCCACGTCGCTTCATATGAGGTATGATGCTTCTATTGTACCTTCACCACGGGAATTATCTTGTTATGCAAGACCTTATCGGTCCACCCAAGAATCTCCACAGGAACCTCCTAATAAGTCATGTCAGCCTGTCCTACACCTCATCGTGAGGAACAATATGAGAAGGATTAGGGTGGTAGCTCTTGAGAATCGAGACACGAAAGACATCATGCAGACCCACGAACTCTCAGTATAGAACGAGGCAGTATGCCACAGGTCCAATGCGCTCAATGATCGAAAAAAGTCCTATATATCAAGGGCTCAACTTCCTTCTCTTCCCAAACCGCATCTTATCTTTGTAGGGGTAAACTATCAGGAAAAAGTTGATCTCCCATGGCAAACTTCAAGGGTCGCATATGATTATCGATATAACTCTTTTGGCAACTCTGCGCAATTGTCAAGTTCTTACGGATGATTGCGACCTTCTAAATGGTCTCTTCAATGAAGCCTGGTCCTAAGTAGCGCTGGTTCCTTGACTCACTTTAGCAAGGAGGGGAACGGCAGGGCCTTCCATACAATGCTTAAATACGGGGCCATATTGATGTTGAAATGATAAATGTTATATAAGCAAATTCATAAAGTGGAAGATATTAATACCAGTTATCACTAAAGACAAGAATGCAAGCACGCAACATGTCTTCTAATATCTAGATTGTACGTTCTGACTGATCATCCGTCTAGGGATGATAAGCGGTGCTGAAGTACAACCCAGACCGTAGAGCTTCTTAGAAGCTGTCCCAAAAGCGAGAAATGAATCGGGGATCGCAGTCGGACATAATGGATGAGGGAACTCCATGAAGTCAAATAATCTCATC